GCTAGTAAAAATCCAAACTCTCCTCCTTTATAAGTAATTTGAAACACTATAAGGAAAAAAATATCATCATGTTTGGCATCATATGCAAGTGCCACAACTAAAATAATTTGTTACTATGTACTTTTCTTACTTTGAGGCCTGTTCATCCAAAAGTTAAATACATGCTTCTTCATTTGATGTCTATGAACCAAAACCATGGAAATCTCTTCTTGTACTGAAGATTAGAGCAAGACATGTTTGTGCTTCCTCAGAATTAGGAAAGGTTGAAGTAATGATAAACTACATTGTCTCAATATGTCTCTAAATACTTTAATACATTATTCTACACTTTACATATCTTATTTAAAAATTTTTCCAACATTGCTTAAATTAAGTGAATTCTGCCATAAACAAACAGAAATATAATAAACATAAACATGCATACTTGCAAAAGACACTCAAAGACATCACCTATTTTCACATTTGAGGATATTAAAAATGGCTTTTTTAAATCTGAAACTTGGAACGTAAAAATACCAACTATGAGACAATTTGTCAACAATGGCATTGGTACATTAGAATTCTCTCTGTCTCAAAGTACTATAGTTTCCTTAGGCATAATTTCCTTTTCCCATCATACTTGTTACTGTCTTACTGCACTAAGAAAATACTGTAACAGCCTTTACTCACAAGGCAACAGTGACAAGGCAAATGTGGCTGAATCCAAAATGTTTAAAGGAACATATCTCCTCCAATGAACTCTTATAGACCCTTTAAAACTGTAAAACTACATTGTAATTAGCAACCTGAGATAGTATTTGCCTCAGTAAGCCCTGTATCAAACTAGAATATTTCAAAGTAAACCAACCACATTATTAATGATGAGAAATTAAAAATGTGTGCATATACATTAACTATGATTAGTTGGAATTCCAATGTAGATATTCTGAAGTATTTTGAAATAGCCACATTAGAAAATATAGGATTTTTGTGCAAGCAGTTTAGATCACTTTTTAAAAGAATTATGTATCTCAATCATTGAAATATTCGGTTCCATAGCATTTTTAGGAAATCTTGTGCCTTAGCATATATGTGGCCAATTTTCTTTTTTTTTTTCCCAACCATTAAAATTAGACTTAAACTGTAATGGGGACCTAGAACTTTCTTTACTTCTTAAAATAGATTCCAGACTCACTGTATAAGCAAGAAAGCCCAGGGTCTTTAAAACTTCTCTATCCTTTCCAGAAGTTTCTCCATGACACCTAGAGAGCCCATCCAACTCTCAGCTGCTATATTAGGGACCATTATGGCTGCTCATCTTATTCTAGAATGAATTCCTATTCTATGGGTATATTCTAATAACCTTTATCTTAATTTTGAATTATAAATGATTCAACATCTACGTATCCTTAAGACATGAATCCATCTATTAATCTAAGATCTTATGGAAGATAACGGAAATTTCAGAACAAAATGTGAAAAAAATAAGCCAAAATGTTTAACAGAAGAAAGCAAGCTGTTAACTACGTTAGTACTCTGTGCAACGTAAGTTGTTATAATATTTGAAGAACATTTAGGTGTACCTTTCATAACTTATACAACCCTTTTTCTTAGTATCTTTCATGCCATTTAAAAATATATACTTTTCTATTCTTCTTAACATGATATACCTTAATTGCTGGTTACTTGGAAGGATTGAGTATTGTATCAGCAGCTAAATTTTCCTTTCATCTATAAAGTACACATTCCATGAAATGGACTTGAGAGAATTTGGGAATTGCCAAAATTCAAATAGAAAATATTTTCAATATTTTGTAAATAGGAAACTAGGAAATTGGCAATACTGTAATTCAGAGGTATCCCCTAACAACAATTTATAGCACTCTAAGAACAAAACTCTGAGAATGAAAATATGTCTAATGACCCTTAGACAGATCATTAACAATCTGTGAAGTCATAATGTGTCCTATTCCAAAATAGATTACACACAGGTTGCAACACAGACAATAGCATAAACTCTCAAAATTTATCAGCATATACCACCTGTATTTCTCATCTAGTTGATGTTGACCTAGTAAAGTATAGGACAATTCCAAGTATAAGACAATCTGGTGCTTTTTAATACAGTATGTTAGAAGACACAGTGTGTACGGATACACAAATTCTCTTTTGGTTGAATGCAAATAAAATACCCATAATATCCATTACACTTTTATTCCTGC